TAGGTGGGTTACATGAAATTCATTGGTGATAGATTAAGGAGGAGGGATAAAGCAAAGCAGGGGAAATCCCTGGGATTGGATAAAAAGTAAAATGATGGACACATACTTAGGTGGGTGCAGGAACAAAAAACATGATAATGAAGGAATATGTGGTATCTGTCCTGGAGCCCAGCACATTTCCTTGTGCCCCAGGGGCTCCAGAAAAAGGGAAGTTACCAGTTACCCAGACATTTCAAGGGTATGTTATCATAGATGCAAAAAGACAGGCTCAGTGAAGGTAAAGGTTGACCTTGTCAGAGAAGATACTGGCCTAGGACGTAACTGCCCACCATAACTGCTTTAAACTTTAATTTCAGACCATCCTTTTGAAGTATGGTAGCAATCATCTCAGGTAGAAACTATAGTTAAACTTTAACCCTGCTGTTTGGCCTCTGTACTTACTTGCTTTGTTAAAATAATAGAAAAGTTATTTTGATTTTCTGAATTATATAAATCATCCCATTTGATTGAACACCTTATTGATTGTAATGTGAATACCCCATTGGTTGTGGTCATACTGGTTTTAGAAAGCACATTCTTCTGTACCTGGGAACCAGGACAGCACAATTATCCCAAGACCCGAGGGCTCTAGATAATGTGTTTCTGTCAACTCAGTGATCCGGAGACCCAAAACTATAATTTAGCTAACATGCTTAAGTCTGCTTCTGTAAACTGCTTTTTGCAAACCAGGTTCCTCATTCCAAACCCTGGGATGTAATCAATACCTTTGTGATCTTTATAAATCTGATGTTGGGGCTGGGGAGGGCACTGCCAGATTTGCAAGAGCGAAATGCCCCCTCGTAGTCCCGGATTTGCAATAAATGTGACTCTTTAATTCGACTTCTTGAGGCGTCCTTGTGTGATTCGTGGGGTACATTACAACACTTTGTGGTTGCTTTAGGTCTCTGAGTTTGCAAGACTGCCATGCAGGCCTCCCCTGAGCTTGTCAGGTCAGCATGTGGCCCCTTTCAGCCACACATACCTATGATAAAGTTTAATTTATAAATTAGGCACAGTAAGAGACTAACTAAAAATAAAGGAAGGAAGATAGGAGGGAGGGAGGGGAAGTAAACTACCTCCTTCAGGGCAAAAATATCTTCATGTCCTCTTCCTTTCCTTAATTCCCAGGCATTCAGCTTCCAGCGCCTTCCTCCCACTACTCTAAAATGGCTAGGGAAGGAATGCCTCGACTTCCAACTAATGCCATAGGTTGTGAAGATTTTACAAAGGGAAACATGGGCCTTGCTAATTGCACAGGAAAGGGCCATAATATGGGAAAGGAGCAAAGGCTCAAAGTTGGAAGGAGTAGATGTTTAAAAGGCTGGGGGAGAGGGGAGGATGAAGTAGCATGAGGACAGGAGGAGGGCTCTGTACTTTACAGGCTTTATCTGGTGAAGGTTGGGCTGAGGAGAAAGATTGCCTTGAGGGATGAGCTCTACTAGAAACTTGTGATCTCCTTGTTCTGCTACAGTGTGGCTTCTTCCCTGGGAAACTAGGAATAAAGAGCATATGGAGCATTGTTTGGGGGTGGCATGCATGTGTTCACATCACAGAGGGCAGGGAATAAACCAAAGTAATTCTCTCATCCCCACCTTCCCAGTCACGCAAGTACTTGAGCCATCTTCAATGCACACAGAGCCCACTTTTGGGGATGGCTCTGGCAGAGTTTGGTTGGGGTCAAATCACCTGAACAGCTTGTACCCTTCCACAGAAGGGAAACAGACATCCTCCCAAGGGCAAAATTACAGATTGAATACAACTTGAGACTCGATTTAAATTTTATTTGGGAACTTGTTTATTTACAGTTTTTAAGTGTATAATTTCTTACATCTTTTCTCCTACTTTTTACTTAGTGGGTTTTTAATTATGCCTTTTCAATAGTACACTTGCAGACCCTGACTTACTCTTCAAAATAATTGCTCTAATTTAAACTTCTACATCTTCAATACTTAATACTGTCAGACATTACATTTTCTCAAGCTGATAGATGTGAAATAATACATCATTATTGTTTTAATGATGGTGAATATTTTAAAAACTCTGTTTATTAAACATGCCCATTTCCTCTTCTGTGAATTGCTTTTTCATGGTCTTGTCCATATTTTTATGGAGATTCTTGCATTTTCTGTTGATTCATAGAAGTTCATTTATATTTTCTGGATTCTAGTTCTTTACTGGCTATATGCATTGCAAATATCATCTCCCAAGGTCTTTCTTACTGTATTGATTACTTTTCAAAATTATTATACAAAAGCTTTAAAAGATTAAGGGATAGTGTTTGTTTCTTTGTTTTTTTCCCTTTATTTTTTTTTAATGAAATCTTTATTGCTCAGATTATTACAGTTGTTCCTCTTTTCCCCCCCATAGATCCCCTCCACCTGCTTTCCACCCCACCCTCTGCCATTCCCCCCTTTCCCCCACTATCCTCATCCATAAGTGTACGATTTTTGTCCAGGCTCTTCCCAAACCACAGACACCCCTTTCTCCCCTGAGAATAGTCAGTCCACTCCCTTTCTATGTCCCTGATTCTATTATATTCACCAGTTGATTCTGTTCATCAGATTATTTATTCACCTTCTTTTTAGATTCACTTGTTGATAGATGTGTATTTGTTGTTCATAATTTCTATCTTTACCTTTTTCTTCTTCCTCTTCTTAAAGAATACCTTTCAGCATTTCATATAATACTGGTTTGGTGGTGATGAACTCCTTTAGCTTTTTCTTATCTGTGAAGCTCTTTATCTGACCTTCAATTCTGAATGATAGCTTTGCTGGGTAAAGTAATCTTGGTTGTAGGTTCTTGCTATTCATCACTTTGAATATTTATTGCCACTCCCTTCTGGCCTACATGGTTTCTGTTGAGAAACCAGCTGACAGTCGTATGGGTACTCCTTGTAGGTAACTGACTGTTTTTCTCTTGCTGCTTTTAAGATTCTCTCTTTGTCTTTTGCTCTTGGCATTTTAATGATGATGTGTCTTGGTGTGGTCCTCTTTGGATTCCTTTTGTTTGGGGTTCTCTGCGCTTCCTGGACTTGTAAGTATATTTCTTTCACCAGGTAGGGGAAGGTTTCTGTCATTATTTCTTCAAATAGGTTTTCAATATCTTGCTCTTTCTCTTCTTCTGGCACCCCCATAATTCAGATGTTGGTATGCTTGAAGTTGTCCCAGAGGCTCCTTACACTATCTTCATATTTTTGGATTCCTTTTTCTTTTTGCTTTTCCGGTTGGGTGTTTTTTGCTTCTTCATATTTCAGATCTTTGACTTGATTTTTGTGATCCTCTAGTGTGCTGTTGGAACTCTGTATAATATTCTTTATTTCAGTCAGTGTATGCTTAATTTCTAGTTGGTCCTTTTTTATATCCTCAAGGGTCTCACTAGATTTCTTGAGAATCTCACTAAATTAATCAGCACTTTCTAGAAAATTCTTGTAAAACCTTATAAGTGTGGTTTTGATCCCTATATCCAGTAGTTTGCTTTCCTCCATTTCTGTCATTTGTGACCTGTTTCTTTGTCTCCGCATTTTTTATGCTTTCCTGTGTTGACAGAGTGGCTTTCTGTGCTAGGTGTCCTATAGTGCCCAGTGGCTCAGCCTCCCCAATTACCTGAGGTGCACAATCTTGGTGCACCCCTTTCTGGGCTTTGTGAACATTATTGTTGTAGTTAAGCCTTGATTTTTGTAGGTATCACTGGGAGGAATTGACCTCCAGGCCAATTGGCTGTCAGAATTAGTTGTGTCTCCGCTGGGACAACTTCTGTGCTAGAGACACCCTTATGGGGCAAGACTTGCTTCAGTGGGGTTTTGGTGCTCACGGAGTCTGCCCCTTGAGTGTGTCCCTTATGGATCTGGGGAGTTGTAATCTGGATGGTCCCACTCTGACCACTGGGTACACTGGCTCTTGGATCGCTAAGGAGGTGCAAATTTAGCCTCTGCCTGAGGCTACCCAGCAGAAGCTTTCGAGAGATCTGCAGATTCCTTTTCTTTGGGTTTTGAAGGTGCCCAGATGAGGCCCAGCTGTGAAGCAATGCAAGCTGCTGTGGGACCTTGGGACTTCTTGTGGAAGTTCTGGGTCTCTCTGACCCAGCTGCAGTTTGTTAGGTAATTTTGAGATTGCAAAGGGCCAGGCCATTCATATGCAAAAGCCTCTACACACAGCTTGGGTGGGGTGGGGTCTCAGGGAATCAACAGGGCGGAGCAAGCAGCTATGGCTGATCCTCAGTCCTACCCTACGTGGCCCCGCGTCTCAGTGTCCTGGTAATCACTGCAAGCACCTCTGAGAGAAAGCCGCCCTCGAGTTCTGACAGATGCCAGACAGTCCAGTTTCTCTCCGTATGTGTCTGGGTCCCCAGAGACTCGCCCGGAACTGGAGTTCAGAACAGTCAGGAGCTTGAGACTCCCTCCCGATTAAAAAAGACAACCGCATCCTCAGTTGCCAGCCTTTTCCACGTGTGCCTCTGTACCTCTGCACTTTACTTCCACACCGCACCTCCTCTGAGTCTCAGTGTGCTTTTCTCTTTCTTTCTAGTTGTAGAATTTCCACCTACCCAGCCTTCCTGTGGTTCTGGATGATGTCTGTTTTGACTTTTACTTGTATTTTTGAAGTAGTTGTGCCAGGCAGCAATGTCCGGTGTTTACCTATGCCGCCATCTTGGATGACCTCCTGTTTGTTTTTAAATAGGTAATAACACCCGTGAAATTCAAAGGCATGAAAGTATGCAGCAAAGAGTCTCCCTCCACTGCATCTAGATAGCTAGTTGCCTTGTTTGAAGGGAATACAATGCAAGAAATACTATTGTACTACAACAAATCACCTTGCATATAGATTATTCCTCATTTTTATCTGTATGAGAAATTCCTAGCAGTGGGATTGCTAGATCAAGGATATGTGCACTTATAATTTTTATATTATTGCTTCTTATGTATCTTTCCAGAGCTACTTTAAACATATACAAACACATGTAAATATGGAAGAATGTCTTTTATTTGGACAGACTTGTATTTTCTCCTGAATTACAGTCTACAATGATCAGAAGGCTCTTGCCAATATTGAAAGTTAGAAATTCCTTTGTATTGGAAATTTGAAAACATTTGCTCCATTTTTTTTAAGCTTCCAGTGTTGAAGTTGAGAAATCTGAAACCATTCTGATTCTTCTTCCTTTTTTAATTTTCTTCCCTCTAAAATTTTGTTCTCAGTGTTTCTGAAATTTCCTCATGGTATACCCTGGGATTGCTCTTTTTCTTCTTCGTCTTCCTTTTTTTCCCCCCTATTGTACTGAGCACTAAGGCATTCATCTGGAAATCCCTGTCCTTTAGTTTGGAGATGTTTTCTTGAATGATTTCATTGTTAAGTTCTCTGGTTCCTGATCTCTTTGTTTCTGGAATTACTATCAATTAAACATTGGGCTGTTTGAACTGGTCTTCTAATTTTATCTTTGTTTTCTATTTTTCATTTTAGTTTTTACTTTCTGAAAGTTCCACAATTTTATCTTGTTTTTTTCCATTTCTATTATACTTTTCAACTTCACCCCCTTTGTTTTCTTATTAAATGTTCCTTTCTTATAGAGTTTTCTTTTCAACAGTATTTTTGTGGTCAGAAGAGTCTGACATCTTGTGGGCAAAGAAAGATATCAATGGGAGCCCTTAGAGAACGTGTCTGCTGATGCACACTGCCCCTGAAGCAGTCCCCCTTCTGAGGCACGGTCCGGGTTGCCACAGGTCCTGCAATTACACACCTGAACACTTGCAGGGAAGACAGTCTCCTTCTGCATTCCCCTTTATCCACTGAGGACAGATATGAGTAAAGACTTTCTGAACCAAGTCTGAGAGTGAGGTCATCCTACTTGATTTTTCATTGTAAGCTGCTGCTCCAGCACCCTGGGAAAAATGAGAGTTGTTTTAAAAAAACTGAAACCGAATGACTACAGATTATTGATAACAGATACAGCCTAATAATCACAAAGCAACAGATACTCTGCTAAAAGCCCTGGGTTTGAGGGGAAGTGGAACACCTACGTGTTTGTTCATTTGTTTAATCTGTGCGCCTGAAATACTTGAAATGCTAAATGTCCTAGCAAACATTGACCCTACCCCACTTCCTAGAGGCCAATCAATGCACTTCTGATTCAGGATGAGATGAAGGGTTAGAGATCAACACACGCAAAGGCCCAAAGGTCACAGCCCAAATTACCAAAACTTTCAGATAGGCCTCCAATTTCCAAAGGTTTGTGGGTTTTTCTAGAGACAGAACAGAATACATGGGGACATGAGCCTCATCAGCTACACCTCCCCATTTACCAGTAAGGGACCACTTTCAATTGTTTATTTCATGGCACAAGCCTGAATGTAGAATTTTACATTTCAACAAATGAGGTATCTTCTCTATTTCTTTGTTTTTATTCTTCCTCCATAATGCTCTTCCCTCCCTCCCCCCATCCAGCAAAAGCAGAATTGCTGAATAAGTAGACAGAATCAAAATGATATTGAGGTCCCATTTTTACACATCATTCATCCTCAGGCTGCCTCTGGTGATTAGATTAGCATATTCTGGATTCCCTGTGTCTCACATGGTACAAGGAGAAACTTTAATTGGGCTATTGATACCAAACTGAAGACCCAGATTTCTTGCTATTATGGGAGGAACTATTCATGTGCTGATAAAAGTTCAAGATTCATCTATGTTTATATATAAGTACTTTTACCTTAGAAAGCTCCATCCTCTAGGACCCTGGGGTCTTCAAATGTTTGTACCCTTCAAATGTTTTGCTTTTCCAAGGAAATTTGCTGTTCCCAAATATGGTAGTCCACTTCTAGGAATGAATACAAAGGATGCAATAAGCACAGACCCGAGTCTTAGGGAATTTGGTAAGAATGCACCATAGGAAAACTAAACATGATGATTTCTGGTCATGAGTCGGTTTTAGTTTTACTAGTGAAAAGGCAGTATTGTTTTGCTGCCATAGTCACTGTTTACCTTCTATTTTTTATCATGAGGTTCCAATTGAAACTATAATGGCAGTTCAGGGAAGGGAAAGAGACATACGGGCTACAGCAGGGAGAGCTTTATGGAGGTGAGACTAGAACAAGAGCTTGAAGGGTGGAACAGGTTTTTACAATTAGAAGAGGAGAATGATACCAAGTCATAAGACTGAGCACAGCATTAAAAAAAAAAAGAAAAAACAATGAGGAAAAACCAGCCTTCTGCATGAACATAAAGAACCCTGAAGAGTGTTTGAAGAAAGGGCTGTAGTTATGTATGTCAAGGGTGTGTGTACTGAATTTGTGATAAATTCTTGATCTAATAAGAAAGGGGAGCCCTGACTGGTTTAGCTCAGTTGATAGGGCGTCAGCCTGCGGACTGAATGGTCCCGGGTTTGATTCCAGTCAAGGGCATGTACCTTGGTTGTGGGCACATCCCCAGTAGGAGGTGTGCAGGAGGCAGCTGATTGATGTTTCTCTCCCATCGATGTTCCTCTCCCTATTCCTCTCCCTTCCTCTCTATAAAAAAATCAATAAAATATATTTTTAAAAAAGAAAGGGGAATATCTGGATAAAAATCAGAAACTCTAGAAAAACTATTTTGATGATTTTCTATCTAATAGGTGGAAATGAAAATGCTTACTGACACAGTAGCCTGCACTATTGTCCACAGAGTTGCCAATAGGCCTCTGAAATGATTTGTAATGCCTAAGCAACAGAAAAAATTTGTGCAGCTATCTACAGCATCAGAGCACTATTCTTCCATGTCAGGAAAAACAGTAAGTTCAGTCCCATCCTAAAGTCCCAGGACACGATGCATTTTTGCCTCTAGAGGGCACTGCGGTTTTCACAAAAGAAGGAAGTCTGGCTGGGGCTTTTGCTTTTGCTGGTGTTGCACTTGTTTCTTTTTTCCTTAGGTCAGGCTTTAAAGCCTTAAGAATACACTTGAGGGGTGTGTGTCAGTGTATATACCTCCAAAGAAATTAGAAACAAGGAGCATATTGCCCATAATACAATCTATTCAATTTTAATAACAACACCAATAGCAACAAAAGCCTTCCCAACTTTCCATCGCTGGTTCCTACCGAGTTCTTTTCCCTGCATGGGGAACATGAAGAAATGGACTCTCCTCTATCCAATTACCGGCTCAGCCCACTGTAGGGGGTTCCTGCCTCACCCCCAGTACTCCTCTGCTCATCAGTGTCCTCCATGAGGTTAATTAACCTCAACAGATTCTCTTCTATATTTCATTCTTTGTGTCCCAAAACTCTGCTTTCTTAGCATCTCTTATCCATCTTCACTTGGTTCTTTTGGTACCTTTCACTTTACCTTTACAGGCCTTTTGCCTGGATTCACCTTCCTATCCTTACCCGACTCCCTCCAAAGTCCATGCTTTCTCTCCTAGACACCACAGTTCAATCAATGATATACCACTTATCCACTCAAGTCAGAAATCTAGAATCTTCTCTCTTGTCCCATAAACAACCTATCAATTAGGTCTAAACTCCTATGTCACTTATGCTCCTATCCTGATTGCCCGTTGACCACTTCACTTCAGGGTCTCAAGGCCTCTTGCCTGAGCTATGTCAACACAGTCTCTTTAAATATTTAAATATATTTAATTTTACATTTTATTGTTTGGATAGGTATTATGTTTCCTGGTTCAAATTTAGAAGTGTGAAAGGCTCCCTCCTACCCCTAACTGCAGAATCAGAAAGTCTATGCAGTTGTAATTCTGCTAGTACTGTTAAATGGCTTTTCATAAGGATTGACCCATTCCCAGTCTTACCAGCCATGTGCAAAAACGTTCTCTCTGGCTTCTCTGCCTTCATTCATCCCTGCTTGGAAATGTGTCCTCCACATGGTTGTCAACACCATCTTTCTAAAATGCACATCTGACAACCCTTCTGTTTCTTCCCACTGATCTTCATGCCTTTCACTGTCTAGAGCTGTGTTGTATGTCCAGTGTGGACCATTAGCCACACGCGGCTCTTGAGCTCCTGAAGTGTGGCTATTCCAACTGAGGTATGATGTAAATGTGAGATAAACACTGGATCACAAAGATTCAGAATGACAGAAAGGATGTAAAATATCTCCTAAGCCAGTCAGATAAAGACAAGTATCACACAATCTCACTCACATGTAGAACCTAAAGGACAAAATAAACATGAACAAAATAGATCCAGAGACATAGAAACATGGAACTGACTAACGAATCTCAGAGGGAAGGTGGCGGTGGATGGGAAGAGATTAACCAAAGAACTTGTATGTATATATGCATAACCCATGGACACAGACATGGTGTGGTGAAGGCCTGGTGGGGAGGAAGGGACGGGCTAGAGTGGTTCAGTGAGGAAAAAATGGGTACATCTGTATAACTTTCAACAATAAAGATAAATTTAAAAACGTTTTTAGCCCTGACCAGTTTGGCTCAGTGGATGGAGCATCAGCCTGAGGACTCAAGGGTCCCAGGTTCGATTCCGATCAAGGGCATGTGCCTTGGTTGCGGGCACATCCCCAGTGGGGAGTGTGTGGGAGGCAGCTGTTCGATGTTTCTCTCTCATCGATGTTTCTGACTCTCTGTCCCTGTCCCCACCTCCCTGTGGAAGGTCAATGAAATATATTTTAAAAAAACAAAAAAAAACCCCCAAAAACGTTTTTAACATTGATCACATGCTGATTAATTTAGGATATATATGATTACATTTAGGATATATTGAGTTAAATAACATCATTAAAATGAATTTCACTTGTTTATACTTTTAAAAATGTGGCTCATAACGTTTAAAAAATTAAAATTAGATATTTGTACGTACAACACTGATCTAGCCCCTTCCTCCATCATGTCCCTCAGCCATCTCATCGCCTCCAAGGCCCCAGTGCTCATCCGTGCCTCAGATGCACCCTACCATTCCCCCACCCCCACCTCTCTCTCTAAGACTTTGCTTCAAATCTCCTCTTGGGGGCCTTCAAGAGATTTGCTTCACATGTCCACCTCCCTTTACCAGCCCGAGGGCATGCACGCTCATCTTTACTCTCAAGTGCACAGGGCTGAAAGGATAAAGATGGAGGGAGGTCATAACGCAAGTGAACAATTTCAATTTTTTTTTTTTTAATGCAGGTATTAATCTGAACTCCGAACGGGAATGACATTTTGGCTGCACATAATAGTAAGGGTAACAACAGTAAGAGTTGAGAGGAATCACAAGCTCAGGAGAAACTTTCTTTGACTTCAGCACCTGACCAGTCTCACCCTCGCTTGGCCGGCCCAGGCCTGTGGCTCACCTGATCGGTCCAAGAACTCCACCGGGAAGAAGCCTGAGCCCAGGGCTCGGACGGTGCACCCCCC